ATGTCACGGCCTCCGAAAATCCACCCCTGGGCAGCCATCTATAGTCATGCCGTACTTCACACACATACCCTATGAACATTACAAGACCTGTCCTGTTCATCTTGTTGGCCGGTCATCCCCTGGCTCTCCAGAATGTCAATCTCGTGAGAGTGGGAACCTTGGTTGTTTTAGTTCCCTGCTGTAACTACAGCACCCAGAAGAGTGTCTGACACAGACCAGCAAATATTTATTAAAATATGGGTCGGGGAGGCGGGACGGGACCCTCCCTTCACTCACTCCTCCAACCTGCTCTTTAAGCCTCCTGGGCTCGTCTTCCCTGCTCTCCACTCTGCAACACTGCCATCCCGCCACCCCCCGCCCGCCCTCGCCCTCCGTCTAAGTAACAACTCCCCAGGCATCCCAGCCCAGAGTTCGCTTTTCTTTCTCTCAATGTCAAGTCCTTTAGTTTAGCATTATTTTTTTAAAGCCCTCAGACCAAGTGATTTTGCATGTGGATCACTTAGCTCCCTAAAGTAGCTATAAATTTCTATAGGTCTTGTCGCCTTTGGAGAAGAATTTCAAACATGTACAACTTCAAAAACCTTGAGTGCTCATCACAGTACCAAGGTTTTTTTATTTGAATAATTTTGCTTGCAAAGACAGAGGAAATATTTCCTTTATAAGCTGATTATAATTTAACTAAAAGTCACCTGGACAAACATTATACACTAGCTGATACTCTCAGGGACTCTTTACAGCTTTTACAAAGGATTACCTGGACCTGCTGAGTGACTTAAGGAACTGTGCTCTTTATAGTTCACCACTGATTTTCTTATAAACTGTCTTCTTTACTGCCCAGCTATCAGAAATACTTGCTGCTATAAATATCTTCTAATTTCCTCCATCTAACTTGTTGCGAACAGGAAAGTCAGTAGATTAGAACAAGGCCTATCATACGGGTCCATCGGCACCGAGCGAGGCTCTGCCACGAGAAGGGAGAACAGAGAGACCCAGCGTGTCTGGGCTTCCACAGGTGCTCCGTAAACACCGACTGATGAGTCACAAACTCAGTAGCTCCTCCCCAAGGAACATGCTGTTGGTGGCACTTACAGCTACCACGAACTCACACGTTGCACAGAGCTGCTCCTTTCTTATACCACTTGCTCTTGACAGCAACTCTGTGAGGTCAGGTAGCCCAATGACCATTCCATGTCATGACGCCCACTTTTAAAGCTATGGAAACTACACCCTGGAAAGCTGACATGATTTGCCAAGTCACCAGGTAAAAACCCAGGGGTCTCAGGTTTTAAGCCCCTTCCACCAAGCTCATTTGTATAGTGCCACTGTTGTTTCTTTAGGGTAAGAGAACTTCAAGGAAGGCTCTTACATAGCCAAGAAAAGGCACAGCAACGACACATTCTGCTATTATAGTCTACATTTGAAAAGAATATTTGCCAGGGGTCACTGTTTACTGCTAACAAGCAAATCAATCTCTCATTTCTCACACTAACAAACAGGGGACAACGATGAATAAGCTGGTAAATACTTCTAAATTTGGTCCTTACCATTTTACTTCAGAGTATAACCTTCCTATGGTTCAAATTAAAATTACCTTAAACACCCGACACTAAAAACTCCCCCCACCTCTCCTACCTGTCCCATCCAAGGAACTTTTCATGTTCGATCTCATTATTGGGGCTGCTCAAGTAAGAAGTTAGACTGAATTACGAAACTGAGAATCCAAAATTCTACTTCGAAATGACTAACGTGTGTACCTCTTTGGCCCATGGCAGAACTGCATGCTCCCTGGTCAGAGACAACATGAACTGTGTTCTCACAGCACTGTGTTCTTTTCCTTCATTATAGGTCTCTGTGAGTCTGTTTGCCAATCAACGAATATTTACTGAGAGCTTATTCCATGCCAACGATCTAGGCGCTGATCAGCAACATGCTGATTTAATGTCTGTCGCTAGACTACAGGCACCACGAGAAGAGTTACTGCTGCTTTTTTGCTCACCATTGCACTGTACAACCAACCCAGTAGAGTGCCTGGCGCACCGCAGGAGCTTTAGGAACGTTATTGGAATGAATGAATGAGAGACAGAGACAGAGAGAGAGAAGAGGCTACTCTGTACGTAAAGGAATCGGGGCTTTTCACCACCCAGAACATGCCTCATGATCCACCAGCAATCTGATGAATTCTGAAAGGCACCACATGCATTGCACAGCTGTAGGCATAGCAGCTGTCATGCAAAGGAGCCGAGGCCAAGAACTATGAAGAATCCAGCCCTTTGTTTTTTTCTGCCTGCCTCATAAACGAAATGAAGGTAGGTCAACTGTCAATCTACCTGTCAGCTGCATGTCTTCAACATGCTTTAACACTGCTACTGAATGAAACTTATGTTGATTTACTATTTGACGTCACTGCCTGAAAAGACATTTAAATGTCTGAGGTCACACGTAAGACCTAAATAGAATTAAGTTAATATAAAAAGTTCTTCATTTCAGGTCTTTGCAAGCTATAAATTAGCTTTCCCAGAGTATTTAAGTTAAAAACAAAAAAGGTCTGACTCATTATTTAAACTCTCTAAACTTTAGGTCATAAAGTTCAAACAGGACTCTTTACCAGTAAGCTGTTCAAAACAGACAAGTTCCAAGAGTGAGCCTCATGCAAGTATTTTAATTAAAACCTAAGAGTCAGTGGGTTATATGCTGCCCAGAGTAGTTATAAAAATAATAATAGGATAATAAGAAATATGAACTACTTAACTCGATATAAAAACTGAGCAATCTTGGCAGATATAAAAATGAAGATGTGTAAGTGCATGTATCACTAATAAAACAGAGTTTGTGTTCAGTTTTTTCTCCAAATCCAACCAAGTGAAAAGATTTAAAAAAAAAAAAAAAATTAAGGGATAAATAAAAAAGAAAAGCAGAAAGTAAAATGTTTAAACATGCAAGCCAAAGTACGTCAAACAGAAAAGTCTTAGAGTGAACTTTCCATTAAGCTATGAATATATTTGAATATATGTTATGCTTAATTGCAAAGTAAAGATTTCCCCTTCTCCTCAAACTCCAGCCTCTGAAAATCACAACTTACCTAGAAAGCTGGTGACATTAAACAAAATGAACAATAAATAAAGGAACAGGTTGAATTATGTGAAGAGTTTGCAAACAATTAAGCATTAAAAGCCTAATGTCGACAAAATCTCAATACTCAGTTAAAACGATAAAAAACAAACAAACGAAAAAACACCTGGGAATTTTCTAGACCCAGATCATCTAATGCAGGATCAAAGCATTTAATGACCTAAACCAGCCACAAAATCATGTTCAATAAACACAGAACATGCATTTAGTAAGAGGCCCACAAACTGCCCCTTGAATGAGTTAGTTGTATTTGCATTAGGCTCTGAAATACAAAAAATATGTAATGGAAAAATCAGAAAAACCTTTTTGCCTACATTTTAAAATATTATTTTTACATTTTTCGAAAATCAAGTTTATGTTATGATTTTATTTACGGTATGACTACCACAACTCACTTTGCAATGTTCTAAGTAAAGGACAGATTCATGAATTCAAATGCCTAAAAAAATTTACTTAAGATTAAGGTGGGCAAAAAAGAAAGTTTTATATTAGTAAGAAACTGCCACATTGTGCCTTGGCATAAAGTCAAACTGGGCTCTATGAAAGATTCACGAATTCACATTAAAATTCTTTATTTAAAAAAAATCCCAACAACGTGTCAAAATGCCAGCTGGAAATATGATATATCCGACCAAACTATTTTCCTACCCGGAAATTATTCCCTCCCTTTTTTAAGCCCGACTACGCTTTCCCGTGGTTTGAAAACATGATAAAACAAAATAAAACTATTGTAGTTAAATCAAAAGTGACAAAACAGCACGCTCTTCAACTTCCATTTCGTTAATGGCCGAATTTCAGAAAGATCTGGTGTGCTAAGACCTTAGCCCACCCCTGAGAGTGTTGCAATCGTGCGCGGCGCGGCCTGGCCCCGCGTGGGGTGGGGGTGAGGGATTAGAGTGGCAGGGCCCGTCAGGGAGAGGGGCGCAGGGAGCAGCGGCCCGGCCCGGCGCCGGGGAAGCCCGAAGTGGCAGGGCCTGGCCTCGCGTGGAGTGGGGTGGAGTAGGGTTTGGAGTGGCAGGGCCGTCCGGGAGAGGGGCGCAGCGGCACGGCCCGGCGCTGGGGGGCACGGAGTGGCAGGGCCCAGCCTCGCATGGAGTGGGTGGGGGTGGAGGGGTTTAAGAGTGGCAGGGCTCGTCCAGGAGAGGGGCAAAGAGGCGCGACGCAGCACTGTCCGGCATCGGGGGGTCGCGGGGGACCACGAAGTGGCAGTGCCCGGCCTCGCGTGGAGTGGGTGGGGGGTTGGAGTAGCAGGGCCCGTCCGGGAGAGGGGCGCGGCGGCACGGCCCGGAGCC